TTTTTTTTCCTGCGGAAATTTCTCTGGGGATTTCTTATTGAAGGAATAGCGAAACCGTTAGAGTTGTTCTAGATTTAATCCCAGACCATTAGAGGTGATTCCTCTAATGAGAGAAATCATTTCTCGGAGACATGTCTCGGTGACTCGTTTAGTCATGAAAGTTTCAACTTCAATTGATGAATTTTATTGAATTTTCACAGGAAAACAGGACGAAATGCTGAGTATTCGGGTAATCAGCATTTTTGCACTCCTCATCGTTCTACCAACGTGAGTTATTTTAAATTTTTTATAAACAATTAGCTAAACCATTAACCTAATGACTTCCTCATCGATAATTAATCCGTAATTTGTTATTCATTATGATAGCTAATTTTAAACAATTTACTCAGGTGTTAAATTATTAATTGTAATTATAAAGATTTTTTTTTTACTAATAAGAATTCCGAGGATTAATTAAATTCAATTAAATACTTACTGATTGCTTTCTCGTTCATCAGTTGAAGAATAATTGAAATTTTGCAGTGGATTTCTCTAATTTGATCAGCGATTGATAGTCGAAATGATAATTCGATCGCTTCGAGCTTTAATTAATTAAATAAATGATGTTTCAGTGGTCTCTTGAGTCATCCTTTCATTAGACTTTCTGATTTGGAGAAAATGTCATGTCGTCCCTGTGGAGAAGACTGCGATGGCTGTGAATATGGAGTGGTTTTCTCCCCTCTTTGCAGAGCCCTCGAGTGTCGTAAAGTAATTCAATGATATTTACATTATCTCTATTAAATCCCTGCAATTATTCATTAAAAATGGCAGCACTGAATCCTCCAATTCAATTTTTCTCATTGAAAATTAATAAAAATTTGTGATTCTGTCGCGAAGTGCTGCACTAGGATGAGAGCTTTTTTTTTCGATGCCAGTTTTTCCCCGATTTCTCGAGATTCGACGGAGATACCGATTTTTTTATAGATACCTTTTTTGTAGCTGTCCTTTTTTTCTATAGATAATGTTTAAACAAAAAA